ATACCCGTTAAAGGTTTAACACTTTAGGCTCATATGGAGGCACAACACTACTATACACTACACTATGCACTACAATACACTTTACTACGCATAGGGCTCTATTAAGGCCCGTCGTGAAGCGATTAGTCGTTAACAGGGGTGGTCGTTAAGAGGGGTTCTACTATACACTACACTATACACTACTACTATACACCACACACTACACTATACACTACACTACTATACACTACACTATACACTACACTACTATGCACTACTATACACTATACACTACACTACTATACACTACACTACTAAACACTCTTATACACTACACTATGCACTACACTACTATATACTACTATACACTACACTACACACTACACTGTACACTACTATGCACTACTATACACTACTATGCACTACTATGCACTACACTATACACCACTACTATACACTACACTATACACTACACTATACACTACACTACTATGCACTATTATACACTACACTACTATACACTACACTATACACCACTACTATATACTACACTATACACTACACTATAAACTACACTACTATACACTACTATAGACTACACTATACACTACACTATACACTACTATACACTCCTATACACTACACTATACAGTACACTATACACTACTATACACTACACTATACACTACACTATACACTATTATACACTCCTATACACTACACTACTATACAGTACACTATACACTACTATACACTACACTATACACTACTATACACTACTATACACTCCTATACACTACACTACTATACAGTACACTATACACTACTATACACTCCTATAAACTACACTACTATACAGTACACTATACACTACTATACACTCCTATACACTACTATACACTACACTCTACTATACACGCCTATACACTACACTACTATACAGTACACTATACACTACTATACACTACACTATACACTACTATACACTACACTATACACTACTATACACTACAGATTGGGCTCGATGGAGGCCCGTCGTCAAGCCATTAGTCGTTAACAGCTGTGTTCGTGAAGATGGGTTCTACGACATGGCCTTAAAAGTAAAACAATAAAAAATAACTTGCAACGTTTCGGGCAATGGACCTTCTTTATCTGCGACGAAGGGAGCATATGCCACGCAGCTGGGTCATCGCCCGAAACGACGCCCTAGTTTGTAGTTTTCCTTGCTGAGGTTACACATCCAGTGTTGTCGCCTTCAAAATTGTGAGATTGCCGTTGTTGAGTGTACTTGGGCACCAGTGCCAACGCAGCACCCAACCGGATAGCGATGGCAGTCGCAGGGGCTGTTGGACAGCAGGGAGCGGTGCAGCGGTAGTCTCCAGCCACAGTGCCACTCAATCGTAACTACTGGCGAAACGCCGTACTTGAGAGTGTAAATGTTGTGGCTTGGCTCTCCAGCACACCGGTGTGCTGTACTAGTGACGAATTGACACGTTCTGTTTACGTGACAAAAGTGAAGCATCGTCATCAATTAGGCATCAACATCATCGTCAGCACCACCGCCATGTCTAACAATGTCCCAGTGAACGGAGAGAGAGGTGAAAGGGGGGGGGGGGGGTATTTCGGCTTGGGGGCTCCCGTACCCTACCCACTGAGTGTCAGACTCCCTGAATACGGGGTGAGACTGACCGAGCAGATCTTGGGGGTCACAAGGTGTCGACTATAAGAATGTACTGAGATTGTAAATGTTGTGGCTTGGCTCTCCAACACACTGGTTAGTGCTGTACTCGTAACGAATTGGCACGTTCTGTTTACGTGACAACCCTTACTAATTGGCTGTGTCGGGTGGTGGCGGGTTTAACGACACACATTTATATATTTACGTGATAAATCTCAAACAACCTGTACCTTGGATGATATTGGTCGCGAAAGCCTCCTACGTGTTATACAGCACCCCTGTTGTGTTGTACTGTACGTCTATGTGCTGTCACCTACACCCCCCCCCCCCCAGCTGTCCAGCCTGGTGAGGTATGGTCAGAATAACCCCCTCGACCTGCAGCATGGCGTGGAGTTGCCCTGCGGTCCATCCAGCAGTGGATTGGTGTGCAGGCTGGTCCAGAAGTCTTGTGACCCCCCCCCCCCCCCCCCAAAAAAAAATAATTTACCCCGAATAATTTTATTTGTCCTTTGCATACTAATTTCTGTTTTAAATAAATCGAGTATTTAGTTTTACTTGATAAAGTATTATGTTTTAGATAATTTTATGGGGAGGGGGGGGTCTCAAGACATCTGGACCACACTGGACAGTTAACAAGTGACGGGGCCACGGTAGACGGATCCTGGCTCTGTCTTGAGTTCGCGTGAGCACCGCGCCCTCTCGTGACTCGGCTCGGACATTGCAACTGCAGACTCGCTCAAGCGCATCGCGAAAACCACCGTGTCACGTCCCAGTTATCACGGCATTGTTCGTACCAAATCATAATATGAAGGCGGTGCTTCAAATCAAGATAAAATAAGATGTTTCAAGCAACGCGCGGAAACGTGCGCAAAAAAAACAACAACCGGCCTTTTACGCGTCATTCCAACCACATCAGCATAAGAGACATTTCTAATGGTGACCTAACGCAAGAGGGCCCCTAAAAAGACGGCAGACAGAGCGTCTTTAAAGTCGTTACTGGTTAAGAAGTGAGTGAGATGGTGGGATGAGGGGTTGCGCACAAATGGTGTCGAACTGACTCCAATGATAACCGCACCACACATCTCACAATCTTCTTTGGTTCTTTCGGTAAAGTCACGTAGAATGAGAATAAAATAATAAATTGATAAAATAAAATAACACAATAATATTCTCACGACGTTTCGGCCACAACACAAGCGGCCTTCATCAGGTGAAGGGACGAGAATGTCTGGTAGGACAGCGCTGGAGTGAAAGAGCCACGTTCAGATCACGGCCTTTAAGCTGTGTGAGAGGAACAAAGCGCCTTGACAAAGGAATTAGCATATAATTTAGCATTGAAATGGCTGAATGATTAGCTTGTGACTGGTCACAGAAATAGCTATGTTAAAAGTTAAAGCATACACATCCGCAGAGGCACCCCTTGTTAAAGGAATTAGCATAGAATTTAGCATTGAAATAGCTAAGTTAAAGCATACACATCCGCAGAGGCACCCCTTGACAATGGAATTAGCATTGAATTTAGCATTGAAATAGCTGAGTGATTAGTTACAAGCTAGTTACAATTCTCACGACGTTTCGACCATTACACAAACGGTCGTCATCAGGTGTGTCGGTTTGCATTAATTTATTTATTTTAAAACGGTGTATTTATTTATTAAAAAACGTCAGCACCACGCGCAGCGATTTGGCAGTTAATTTAGAAGGACTAGTCCATCTATAGGAATAGGTTTTACCCTTTTAACTGGCACAAAAACTGACACCTTCATTCAAGGCATCATGTTTGCAATGACCACAACACAAGCAGTCAAAATGCAAACAAAAAAGACAACTCTGATAATAATATGCACTGTCCTTGAATTTGATTGGTCCACACCCGAGACAGCTTTTCTTAGAGCCTAGTCTCCATTGGTGTTGGACCAAAAGACGCCAAAAGGCGTACAACTCAAAAACAGCGCACTATCAGAGTATTGAGGGTTCGGGGTGAAAGCCACTGTAAGCGTGAACAATCAATAAAGAACTGAAATGGTTAATCAAATCTTTCCAATGATTGCTAAGCCAGAATCCATCTTCTCGGTTGAAATTGTCTCTGTGCTTGTATATGTGGATAGCCTCATGAACGAATCTCTCATGGTAGCCAGATGGCTTACAAAGAACCTCTGTCTTGGAGAAATCAATGTCATGTGAGCCTACTGAATTATAACAATGATCTGCCACGACCGAGGTGTTGGTCCTTCCGTGTTTAAGGTCTGCTTTGTGTTCACGAATGCGGTCCGAGACATGGCGTTTGGTTTCTCCAATGTAACTACTACCACAGAGGCAACTTAGTTTGTAGACGCCAGGGTACTGTATGTCCGGAATCACATCTTTTACAGACGGAACCAGATCACGGATTTTATGTAATGTGTTGAAACGAACCTGGATCTTGTGTTTATTCAAGATTTTGGAGATCTTTTTTGTGATCCCCGCAATGTAGGGTAAAGTGATGGTTTTGAAAGGCTCCTCAAGAAGGTCCTTCTTCATAGTTTGAATGCATATCCGACCAGGAACACATAGGCAGTGAACTCAAGCACGTACACCAAGCTCTTAAGGCTAATGGTTACTCCGACTATACAATCCGCAAAGCTATCACTCAATACGTAGTAGCAGGCCTTCTCGACCGATATCATCCATAATAGAGGCTGTTTTGGGGTTAGATCGCGTAAATATATAAATGTGTCGTTAAAACCCGCCAACACCCGACACAGCCAACTAGTAAGGGTTGTCACGTAAACAGAACGTGGCCAATTCGTCACTAGTGCAGCGCACCGGTGTGTTGGAGAGCCAAGCCACAACATTTACAATCCGAGTACGACGTTTCGCCAATAATTACAACTAGCTTCATCAGGCGACAGCCAGAGTTGTTAAGTTTACGTGACAACCCTTACCAGTTGGCTGTGTCGGGTGGTGGCCGGTTTTAACGACACATTCATACATTTACGCAATCTTACCCATAAGGCCTCTATGATGAATGACGGGATATTGCTCAATCAAAACCAAGTGCACCAGTATAATAGCCGTATTGCTGACATTGCATCTTACATTGTAAAATACCAAAGTGTTTGAACTATCCCTGGTTTCCACTACCCAAGATACATTGAGTATTTATAATTGACACAAAGGTGCTTACGAGACGAGTGTGCTCGAGAATTAAAGTGAACCCTGTCCTTTGCGCAGCCAATGTTCATGAAATATCCCGTGTGTCTTGGGTCCACCGACTTCCTGTGCACCGATTGTGCTTTGTGTTGCGTTGTTCTGGAAAAAAATAAAACGTCATTGTTTAAAAATGCCGAGAGTAAACATTTATTTAACACAAATTCTGGTTCAAAAGTACATACAAGCAAGGGCATGCATGGTCTGAGGACTTTATCATAAACGTTTCTGGGATATTGGTGAGCTGGCGGGGGATAGAGGTGCTGCGTACCAAGGGTGTCGAATCGGCCCGGCGATCCTCACCGGCCCACATAGATCTGACACCCTCATTGTGAAATTCCTGTTTCGTGTCCGTAAGCGACACCAAATGGTGAGGCACAAACGGGGGGACGGAAACTGCTGTGAATTGTGAGCAACACAAATGCTTGATGGTGAAACAGCGTCGTTATCCTCATCTTAAGTTGTAATTCGTAAACGTGTCATCAGGATCTTCCAAAAGGACTGTCTCCATGAAGAGGAACCTTCACCTCATCTCCATGTCATGATCATTATCATCACTTCCTTTACAGGAACACGTTTTGTTTTGTTTTTACTACAAACGTGTTACAAACGTGTTCAGTTTCACTTTTAGGAATCGTCGTTGCGCGCGTGCATTCGCTGCGGTATCGGAGGCAGATGGTGTTTGATGATAATTGTTGGTGCGGTGGGTAATCACGGAGAGCGGAGGACACGGGAGGAAGAGTCGAGAGAGAGGAGGAATAAAAGAGGAAAGTGACAGTGCTATCTGCCTTGATGTTGGAGCGAGAGTCGAGCAGAGAGAGAGAGGGGGACGACAGAGAAATTGCGGAAAGGTAAGATTCAGTTACGTACACACCTGCATACACTTTTATTTTTAAAGCGAGTCGATTTCCGACTTGGCGAAGACCTACATATGCTGTGTTGCTCGCGGGGATTGTTGTTTGACCATACTTCACCGGACTGGTCAATGTGAGGTGAAGAGATGGTGGCCAGGACTGGCTCACATATCACTGAGACTTGTGTGGTTTATTTATTGCTGTTAGCAGCGAGCGGCGGCACGGTGGCTCACGCGATGCACGATGAATCCAGCCACGTGAGTTCAATTCCAAGCCACGGTCAACTTCAGTGATGAACCGGTCCACCCTCCTCCGATAGTCGATTGGCGAAGCGCTATAAACTACCACTCATTATTACCATCATAGACTGACCTACATTATATAATAACGAGACGCGGAACCAGGCGTGTTATGTTTTTTGCAACAAACCATGGAGCGTGTCCGACTTCTCTGCGACTCATCAGTCAGGAGTGCCGATGGTTTGCTTGGTGGTGCAGGCAAGAGCCGTTCACTGTTACGAGAAGTTCATCGCTTACCCCGACCACAGCGAATCGATGCAATGAAGCGACTAAGCGTGGACACTCGATTTAAGATTTGATCAATAGTAGATCAAATAGAGGCAGGTAGCGGCAGAACGTGACCGATTGCATACGCAATATAGCAAACCATGGCCCATTGCGGGGTGCTACGTTCTTGAAAAGAGCCGCAATGGCAAATCCGCAATCTGTAAACTCTAAAGGCAAATGGGGAAACACTAATTTGGCTCACGATTCGTAATACTACAACCACCTCTTTGGTTCTATTCGGTAAAGTCACGTAGGTAAAAAATAAAACAACAAAAATCACGACGTTTCGGCCATAACACAAGCGGCCTTCATCAGGTGAAGGGACCAGACTGTCTCGAGGACAGTGCTGGAGTGAAACACAGCCAAGCTCAGACCGCGACCTTTAAGCTGTGTAAGAGTAATTATGGTGCCTTGACAAATGAATTAGCATACAAATTTGCATTTAATAGGCGGACTTAGCATGATGAAAGGTGGGGAGGGGGTGAACATGTGCAGGCCTGCGAGGGGGCAAGGTAGAGTCCACATGCTGGTGGTGTGAAAAGGGAATTTTAAGAAGCTGCGAAAGTTTGGGGTACCACTACTTGAAAAAAAGATACTGTACGATTGAAAATTAGTTTAATGTTTGGTTCGATTTAGAACATCTTTCCAATGGTTGCTTAATTTAAAACCATCTTCTCGGTTGAAATTGTGTCTGTGTTTGTAGATCTGAATTGCCTCGTGAACAAATCTCTAATAAAAACCCGTGGGTTTGCAAAGAACCTTGGTATCGGAGAAAATTATATCGTGATCACCCACAGCGTTGTAACAGTGATCAGCTACTGCAGAAGAATTCGTTCTGCCGTGTTTCAAATCTGATTTGTGCTCGCGAATTCGGTCAAAGACATGTCGCTTCGTCTCCCCGATATAGCAATCACTGCAGGTACAACTCAATTTGTAAACCCCGGGGTACTGTAAGTCAGGAATGACACCCTTCACGGATGGGATCAGATCGCGAATTATGTGTACTGTATTGAACCGGACCTGGATCTTGTGTTTGTTTAGAATTTTGGAAATCTTTTTGGTAACGCCTGCTATATATGGTAGTGTGATGGTTTTGACCGGAGTATCAAGTGGTTGTTTCTGTATGGAGGGAGAAACGGCTTGGCGGATGGTACAGTCAGAGTATCCATTCCTTTTGAGGGCCAGGTGTACATGTTTTAATTCACTGGTCAGGTGGTGTTGGTCCGAAATGCAATGAGCCCTATGGTATAAAGTTATGATGAGATAATTCTTTTGAGCTGGGTGGTGGTGGGAATCAGGTTTCAAGTAGGAATCTGTGTGGGTAGGTTTCCTGTAGACAGAATGCCCCAACGAGCCATCAGGTCTCCTCTCAAACAGAACATCCAAGAATAGTAGCCTGCCATCCTTCTCCACTTCCATGGTGAATTTGATGGCGGGATGTCTAGAATTGATGTGGTGTAGGAAAAGGTTCAGAGCTGGGAGGCCATGTGGCCAAATGACGAAAGTGTCATCCACATATCTCTTCCACAGGGAAGGTCTGAGGGTGGAAGTCTGGATGGCGTCCGATTCAAATTTCTCCATGAAAACATTGGCTATCACTGGTGACAAGGGGGAACCCATGGGAGTACCCTCATTTTGCTTGTAGAAGTAAGCATTCCAAGTAAAGTAGGTGTTGGTGAGGTAGTGCTTGACCAGAGTAGGTACCTCGGGGTTTAGTCCATGTTGTACCAAATTTTCAATTATATCAATGGTATCAGGTACCGGGACCTTGGTGAACAAGGAGACCACATCGAAGCTGACAAGGATATCGTCAGGGGACAGTACAACGTCCTTGACCATAGAAACCAATTGGGCCGAGTTAAGTACTGCTGAGGAGGTCTTGCCAGTGAAAGGTAGCAAGGTATCCGACAGAAAACGTGCCAGCTTATAGGTAGGGGAGTTGATCGTGGATACAATGGGTCGTAGTGGAGTGCCTTCCTTATGAATCTTTGGAAAACCATATTATCTAGGTGGTCTTGCAGCAGAAGGTTTTAGGGAGGGACGTTTAGTTGGTTCGATTAGGGAGGTCGAACTTGTGATGATCTTGTTGGTTTTTATAGTTAGGCTATTAGTAGGGTCATTTTTTATTTTTTAGTAACTACCATCATTGAGTTTTTATCCATAATTACAGTGGCATTGCCCTTGTCGACTGAGAGGATGACTATATCATGTCTCTCTTTTTATTTTGCGAGTTCAGAGCGTTCATCTTTGCTGATGTTGCTAACGGGTTTCTTAGCATTCTTAAGAATAGTTGCTATTTCAGCTCTCGCGACGTCTGCTTGGATGTGTCCTATACCTTTGAGGGCTACATCGACCTAAGAAATGATATCATCTATCGGTATATGTTTTGGGGTGACAGCGAAATTTAGTCCTTTAGCCAATACTGTTTTCAGATTGTCCGAAATCGGGGTGCTACTCTGATTGATAACAATTTTGTTAACGTCTAGTTTTGTGATCCGTGGAACCGGGTTTTTCTTTGATAGGTGGTTGAATTTAGCAATTAGGTTAGCTTTGCAATTGATTGAAAGTGAATCGGTAGAAGAAGCAGTCATGTTGTCTACGTGGTTCCAATCAGAAGGTGACATTTTTGTGTTAACGTTAAATGAGCTTGTAGGAGAGTCATGTCTAAAGTATCGAGTTCAAAACGGAGTAGTCTTATCCTCTCTGAGATTAAAGAGAGGCTGGCCTTAAACAGAATCTGTTTAGAGTTCGGTGAGGACACAGCAGCAGAAGTGAGTGTGAAGGCGATGGGTATTACCTTGTGGTCGCGGCATCTTTTGAGGAAGGTTAGCGTCTCGATGAGCTGTGACTTCTTGTCCCGTTGTCTGTTAACAGCTCTAACAGATAGGTGAAAACCCTCCCCGTAGAGGCTATCAATTCTAGATTTGAAGCTTTCGTGACTGCAAGGATCCATACTCTTTGGTTCTATTCGGTAAAGTCACGTAGGTAAAAAATAAAACATCAAAAATCACGACGTTTCGGCCACAACACAAGCGGCCTTCATCAGGTGAAGGGACCAGACTGTCTCGAGGACAGCGCTGGAGTGAAACACAGCTAAGCTCAGACCGCGACCTTTATGTTATCCTATAGCAGGGGTGTCCAAACACAATGGGACACAGCGGCTGGGTTTGATTCCAATGCACCTCCTGCCGTATTAATTAACCCAACGTTAGCCGTATAAAAGCGGTATAGCTACATATAGGTCAACAACCCACGTAAAGTCAAAACACATTGGTGAATACAATGATATGTCCATAATAAAAAATGTTGGGGTTAGATCGCGTAAATGTGTCGTTATACCCGCCACCACCCGACACAGCCAATTAGTAAGGATTGTCACGTAAACAGAACGTGGCCAATTCGTCACTAGTACAGCACTAACCGGGTGTGTTGGAGAGCAAAGCCACAACATTTACAATCTCAAGTACGACGTTTCGCCGGTAATTGCAACGAGCTTCATCAGGCGGCAGCCAGATTTGTGGAGAAATCCTGTTTCGTTCCTTAATTAGAGGGGTTTAACGACACATTTATATATTTACGCGATCGAACTCCCCCCAAAAACACCTGTATTATGGATAATATCGGTCGCGAAAGCCTACGTGTTAAACTGACAATGATGCTGTATGTCTAAGTTGCTCAATGCTGCGGCTGCTTGTATCCGGATTTCTCACGCCTCTTCCTTTGGACCACTGCATCGGAGTTCGGAACAAGTGGACTGGGGCTGTTGTTACCTTCATTTGCTGTGCGCCAGGGCAAGCATGTTGGCCTTCCATTCACCTCCACAATTCCTGCACTTTTCTTGGACAACTCTACACTCCCTATCGACCTTCCCTTTTCTTTCATAACATAATTAGGCTAGACGACTTACATCACAATTTAAACAACAACAACAACAACAAACACTTTTCCCATGCATTCGGATTTTGAAATTTTAAACGGGTATTGAATCGGGGGATTTTATGCTGCTGCAGTGCTAACGACGGTCGTCGTATCGACAGGGGGTTGCGTTGTATAGAAGCAGCGCGAGGAACTTCCTCGGATTTCTAGGGATGCAGAGGCGCGAGGAACTTCCTCGGATTTCTAGGTACGCAGAGGCGCGAGGAGCTTCCTCGGATTTATAGGTACGCAGAGGCGCGAGGAGCTTCCTCGGATTTCTAGGTACGTAGAGGCGCAAGGGGCTTCCTCGGATTTCTAGGTACGCAGAGGCGCGAGGAGCTTCCTCGGATTTCTAGGGACGCAGAGGCGCGAGGAACTTCCTCGGATTTTTAGGGACGCAGAGGCGCGAGGAGCTTCCTCGGATTTCTAGGGGCGCAGAGGCGCGAGGAGCTTCCTCGGATTTCTAGGGACGCAGAGGCGCGAGGAACTTCCTCGGATTTCTAGGGACGCAGAGGC